CTATTTTGGGATGCAAAACTCGAGTTTTTTAACACCGTCATTTGTGGCGTCCGTATGTCTCTTCGATGTTGCGATAATATAATTTCACCAAAATTGTGCAGTACAGATTCCATTCTGTTATGATTTTTGAAGTCTCTGGAATTCGGTGGTTCTCTCTCTCTCTCTCATCTTGCTACAAAAAGTGAGTTATTATCGATGGAGTTTACATTCCAATCCCAATGTGGAAGCTTCCTCGCGAATCCTGGCAAACTCTTTCCCTGTTCGTCCCATCGTAGCCTATAGGTGCAAACGTAACTTTTTTAGTCGACCTTCTGAACCAACCTCATCATCGAAATTGCCACAGAAATTTAGAAAGCATCATTTCCCTTACACTGCTCCACGATATGTAAACTACACAGATAGCCTTTTGCTTGTTCTTGTCATAGATTGATTTTGAGACGCAACAGCTGTGGTCAAGGTTGGAAAAAACTCGCGTCCTGCTGTGCGTAAACTTGAGACGTACGTTTCTCGGAGGAATCGATATTCATGGAAAATTCTTGTTGATGGGGCTTTCCGCCAACTCCTCTACTGTCGCATGGATATAAGAACAAAACTTCGCCCCTAGTCAGAAGCGGCGTTCAGGTGTCTTCATCAATTTGAAAATATGGTACTCGATTTTCTTAGCCTGGTTAACAACAGATCGTCATAGTGGTTATTCTTTCTTTGTCACCCTCTTCAGCTGTTAAATAGAAGGCTTCTACTGCCAAGAGAATGCTCTTTATTACCTTAGTGTTTAGCGATAATTTACATGTTGGGCTATAACCTCTATGAGCACAGAGTATTCGAAATTCGGGTACTTGCGCATCCCGCAGCTCCACTTGTTCTGTAGCCCAACTAGCTCCCTATTCGCCAACTGGGCACGAGCCACCACCTTACGAACACGATCTTAAATCTTCTATGATGACCCGTAATTAAACTTTCTATAGTTTGGTTTTCTCTCCCCATCTTCCTTTAACAAATTTTTTGCTCGGGAAGAGCGCAGTAGCCATTTTTTTAGAATTCTAAATGCACTTTCTCAAACTTTTCCAGAAAATAGACTTTTGAACCTTCATTCACGAAAGCTATGGCACCTTATGTTCGTTAAAAAAAGCTGGATGCGCGTGGCGTAAAATGTTTTTTTTACATATTTGA